AGCAATAACAAAATCTCACACTACAATAATTTTCTAAACAAACTAGAAATTCATTCTTATAAAAATATTAACAGTAGGGGCTGGGGATGTGGCTCAAGCGGTAGCGCGCTCGCCTGGCATGCGTGCGGCCTGGGTGTGATCCTCAGCACCACATACAAACAAAGATGTTGTGTATGCCGAAAACTAAAAAATAAAACATTAAAAAATTCTCAGTCTCTCTCTCCCTCTCTCTCTCTCTCTCTCTCTCTCTCAAAAAAAAAAATATTAACAGTATTTAAAACTAGTCATAGACTACTTATACATTTTAGTTTTATAAACTTTGATTCTGTGACTTAATTCATATCTAAAAATGTACATTTTACATTCTTCTATTTCCTCAGCATTATTAAGGTTGAACTGACAAATATTTAAAAATGTACATTTTTAAGTGCGGTTTTTAAAAATTTCACTCTAAAAATTTTTCAATCTAGTTCCCTTTCCATTAGAAAAAAATGAATCAGTAAAACTTTTCAAATAACTAGTTAATATGGAAAAATCTTCTAAAAGGAGCATCATCTCTCCCTTCTTCATTTTAGTTCTTTTAAGAACATTAAAAACAATAAATCAGATTGTCGGAGGATAACCCTTCTAATAAACATTGAAAACCACACCCTTTTCTGGGCCAGTGATACTTTCTTCTAGTCAAAGTTTAAGCAAATTTATAAATAATTTCAAACGATATTTTCCCACATAAAGTCTTCAGGTGTCAAAATCTGAATCTAGGTTCCCAACATCAAAGTAGGTACCCCAACCTTCATCACAGGGGCACTTTCAGCCTAAAGCCTTTTTCTTCTGAATTCGGATTAACATTATAATCCTTAGAATGGATTATAAATAATGTGGAAACACTGTGAAATATAATTTCTTGGATTAATGACTTGATTACTGACAATCTTTTAGAAACTGTGCTTACAGAGACAAGAAAAATTAAACATCAATGAAATGTTACTTATATTAACACTTTTCTGAAATTGAACAGTCTATTTCTTCACAGCATTACCAAAAGTCAAGGTCAAAGTGGAGAAAACAGGTTCAGCAGGGTGGCGTGACCTGGCCAAAGTGACAGGTCTCCTGGCTCTCAGTCTTGAGTCCTTGATTAGAAAATGCAGGCATTATTCATGCACCTCTTACACTGCCTGCACCATTGGTTTTGGTTGTTTTGTTTCTGTAGTTCTTTTTATCTAGAATGAATTTTCTTTTTCTTTTTTTGAGATGGGGTCTTGCTAAGTTGTCTAGGCTGGTGTGGCCTCCAACTTTCAATTCTCCTTCCTCAGTATCCCAAGAAGCTAGGACTACAGCATGGTTCACCCTGCCAGGACCAGAATGGATTTTTTAAAATAGATAATCTTCCAGTACCACAAAAACAAAAAAGATAACCAGTTCAACACAGGAATGTGTGCCTTGTAGTGCCACTACTCAGGAAGCTAAGGCTAGAGGATAACTTGAGCCCAGGGGTACAAGGCCAATCTGGACAACATAATGAGACCCCCATCTCAACAGATAATAGATAGACAACCACTGATTGGCTTGCTTTAAAGTCAAAACCATGAGACAGTGATTATTTGAATACTATCTGCTCTGGAATAGTACTCGAGTAATTAATTATAGTGAAAATCCCTTAAGACTAAAAACTACACAGTGAATCTTAATGTGCTTTGGTTAACAAGTCTATGCCAGCTGTCCAAGTATCCTTATAGATTTTCTGCAAAGCCTCTGCAACAACTCCATTTTCTTAACTTTCCATCATTGCATGGGGGCTCTCTATTCCTAAGCACCCTCTTATGCTAACACCCCATCTACTCCCCCAACTGCCACCATCTTGTATTTCTGAAGTAACAGAATTCCACCATTTAATTTCTAGCCATGTTTCTTAACTAGGAAGGCTAATGGGTCAGGCATGTTATATACCCATGTATAATACCTATCAAGGTGTCAACTCCAGCAAAATCCCTGGTTTACATGAATTTAGACATTGCAATGAGAGAATAAGTGAAGCCATTTAAATAATACAGACCTATAAATGCCTGGAAAAAAATCATATTGCTTACAAACATCAACTTTCATGGCATCACATGTATTTTAACATTTGCTTGTCGTGAGGAAAAGATAGTAAAACTCTTGACAAGAGATATATGCAGGTATGTGTATTTATTTTTAAGCAAATTAATATTGATATGGATTGGTTCTCTAAAATCTGAAAATTTTAATATTGTATTATTCTTAAGGCTCAAAGCTTGATCACCAATGCAGCAGTATTCAAAGGTAGAGCCTTCCAAAAGGTGATTAGAACAAGAGAGCTTTCCAAGGCATCATTGGATTGATTAATAATTTAAGTAGACTCTTGGGAGGTAGAGGAAACTACAGGAGGTGGGGTCGATTTGAAGGGAGTGGGTCCTTGGAGACAGGCCATTGAGGACCATATCTTGTCCCCCCATCCCTTCCTCTCTCTCTCTCTCTCTCTCCTTCCTGGCTATCATAAGCTGAGCAGCTTTACTCTACATGCCCTTCCACCATGATGTTCTGCCTCACTTCAGGTGCAAAGAACTGGAGCCAGCTAGTCATGAACTGAAACTGTAAGCCAAAATAAATCTTTCCTTTTTTTTTTCTTTCCTTCTTAATAAATTATTTTTCTCTGGTACTTTGTCACAGCAACGAAAAGTTGACTAATGCATTTGGTTTCCTTGTTTATAAAATTAAAGGAGTAAATTTTACCTGTACAACTCCTTTTAGTTTTAAGATTTTATTTTAGTGAGTATCTTTGATATTTCAACAGCAAGTCCTTCAACTGTAAAGTCATTTTTGTGTGATCAGCATCAGGACTTTTTAAAACCAAGAGAAACTGACACATGCTTTTGTACATTTGAATAGGAAAGGTTTGGCATTTCTAAGTCTAACCACTTGGAAATCACAGAACTCATTCTCAGCAGCCACCATGTCCTTGAGGCATGGTCAGCAGGTACCTCTCCCATCATTTGCCTGCATCTGAATCTAGGCTCGGGGAGAGCCACCAGGACAGAAGCTACCAGTCAAGTTCTGCTCTTGGTCCTGTTCTCTATCAGCAGTATTGGGCAAATTACTTACCCTCTCCAAGCCTACTACCTTATCTATAAAGCACAGATAATAATAAAAGCACTAGCACCAACACCAGGGGGTTGTTATGAGAGTTAAATGTGCTAAGCCCCATATAGCATGCAAAGTGTTATGTGGCACAGGGTAAGTAAGCACTCACTAAATGGTAGCTGTGATTTTTTTTTTTTTTTTAATTACCAGACTACATGGTGGTAGCATTCATCTAACCTAGTACACAGCTGAAGAAAGCCCATGAAGGTAGTAAAGTCAAAGTGTTGCCAGAGTCCTACATTCCAAGAAGCTGCCTCTTCCTCCTGGACTTGATCTTACTAATGTGGTCTCACTTTCTGACTTGAGGAAGTGAATGAACATACTCACTCCCACATTCCTTTCTAGAAGTTCCACATAAAGCTCTGAAGATGCAGCAACTTAAGGCAAAAGATGGCATGATCAATGATTTAGTTTATCTAGTTCACAGAAAAGAAAACTGTTTCAGTCAGGTTTTTTGTTGCTATGACCAAAGACCCAACAAGAACAATTAGAGGAGGAAAAATGTATATGGTACTCACAGTTTCAGAGGTCTCAGTCCACGACAGCCAATTCCATTGCTCTGGGTTAGACGTGAAGCAGATCATGGTGGAAGGGTGTGGAGGAGGATAGCAGCTCAGGACATGACAATCAGGAAGCAGAGAGAAACTAAACTAGGATCATCAGAGACAAAATATATGCCTCAAAGGCCCATCCCCAGCAACCCACCTCCTCCAGCCATACCCTAATTCTGCCTCCAGTTAATCACTATCAGCAGATTAATGCACTGATTAGGTTAAAGCTGTCAATCATTTCACCTCTGAACTTTCTTGCATTGTCATACACATGGGCTTTTGGGAGACACCTCATATCTAAATCATAACAAAACCCATAACAAATGGTTAGCGCCCCCCTCCCAGGTGGGAGATGTGGAATCAGAGATGGGAGATTTGCTTTTCACTACATAGCTGTCATCTCTTTTAAATTTTGAACCTCAAGGTGTTCTACATATATTAAAAAATAAAATATTTCGGTTGTGCATAGTGGCATATTCCTGTAATATCAGCTACCTGGGAGGTTGAGGAAGGAGGATTGGAATTTGGAAGCTGGTCTGGGCAACATAGTGAGACCCTGTCTCAAAATTTAAAAGTAAAAAGTAATGGGGGTATAGATCAGTAGCGGAGCCCTTGCCGAGCATGGGCAAGACCCTAGGATCAATCCCCAGTACTGCAAATATAAATGCATTAGATTATTAACTAATTAAAAAAATATTTTTAGTTGTAGATGGACACAATATTTTTATTTTATTCATTTTTTTTAATGTGGTGCTGAGGATTGAACACAGTGCCTCACACATGCTAAGCGAGTGCTCTACCACTGAGCCACAACCCTAGTCCCTAATTTTTTTAAATAACTGTATTTTAAGAAATTATGCCTTCCTTTTTGAGAGTTGGGGAGTTGTCAGGCAAACTTCATACACACTGCAGAGCATCTCTGTATGCCTTTTGCTGTTGTTTTACCGAGAACTGTCACAACTGGGTGTCCACAACTGTAGGGTATGAGTGCAAGTTAGGAGAGGACAGAAAAGGAAAGAGGGAAAGTCTTTGGGGCCTAGGATTACTCAGGATTAGGCAGGTTTCCTCACAAAGGAACTAAAGGACTCCTATAGTACATTTGGAGGAGGGGTGCATAGTAATCCCAAATCTTGCTACTATGTTATAACCCAGAAAAGAGGGAAAATGAACTCACATGTATGAGAGTGTGTGTGCGCCTATGCACCATCCAAATAACTCATGGGGCTCAACCTTTCATTGCTGTTTCTTAAAGTATTTTCAATAAAGAAAAATTCTGAAAAAACTCTTGTCTCCTGTTGAAAGACTGGTTCAGAAGTAACCAGGGTTCATTTTATTTGAGTAAGTACAATCTAGTACAACAATGCACTAGTACAATAAGTTTTCTCCCTGATTCATCATTGTCCAACCCTGATGGAATTATGCAAGTCTGGTCCTGAATGACCCCGAAAAGAAATATCTTAAATATCATTATAAGCTACCACATAATACCCCATGGCAAAATGGATCTCTGAAGAATTAATAGTAGAGTATTAAAAATCTTTGTGGGGGTTGGGAATGTAGCTCAGTGGTAGAGCATTTGCCGACCATGTGAAAGGCCCTGTGTTTAAGCCCCAGGACTGCAAAAGAAAAAAAAAAAAGTTTTGTGTGAAAAATGCATTTAAAATCCTGAAATATACAAATATGAAATGCACTTATGAGAAAATGGCTTATATATAGAAAAAAGCTACCCATGAAGTATGAAGATTAAAATATCTGTGCTTGAGTCATTCAGAACCATATTTATGTCTTTCAGATTGACCTTAGAAAGGGCAACGCATATTGAAGTTTCTGAAAACCAGGATAGGATACAAGACAGTAAAACAGAATGAAACTCATGACCATAAAACAGAATGAAAGTCATATCTTCATGGTTAGCCACCTGGTGACAGCTCTGCTTGCTTCACACATGTCAAAACTGCTAAATTATTTTTGGTGTACACATGAAAAAGTGTGTTGGTTTCTCAAGTCATTATGAAACCAACCATTTTTTTTTTTTTCGGGGGGGGGTGTGTGGTTTCAAGGTTTACTTTTAGGCCTATAGGAGACAGCATGCACTGAATGTCAGAAGAGTATGTAAAGAAAATTGAGAAGCATGTCTGAGAAAGAAATGAGTCATTAGACATTAAAACAGTTGCCATCAACTCAAAGTATGCCACTTATGCTAAATGTTCTCAATTTGGGGCAAGGATAGTGGTCACACACATTTATATACTAATATACATGCATTTCCTTTATTCTCCCATCATGTAATATTTAGCATCATGAAGTACCTAGTTAAACATGACAAACAAGTGATGTAATCCCATGACCCAGGATCAGTAATTTCTGTATCCCACAGTCCAGATTCTGAAACTTTTAGGATTAAGAAAAGACAACAAATGCAGTGACAGCCCTGGATTCTAAGCAACAGTGATGTACAGGATGTAAATATTCGTGTAGATTCCAACTTACTGTTCACTTGCTTCCCTGACAGGCTGTAGGCAATATCTGTTGTAAAGCTGAATGGAGAGCTATCAAATAGGACTATTTTGGTAACAAAATCCTGGTTTCAGGAACAAATTGGATGAGAAAGAATAAAAATTTCCTCTGCATCTTTCAGAGCTTGGCTTGAGCCCCAGCCCTCTCACAAGCTGTTCCTGACTTCCTGAATGGTTTAAGCACTCACTCATCTCCACAGCAGATATTGCCAGTTGCCCACACACAATTCTTCCAGAACCCCAATTTTATTTAACATTGACGGCCATATGCTTTCCCAAAGCCTGGAACTTTCCTCAGCTCTAGGAGTGGAATCTTCATTAGCAACCCAGTGCTTTTAATTCTATTCTTCTTGCCAGTGATTGGTTAAGAAACAAAGATATCATGAAAGTCTGGCCTAGGAGATTCAGAGGGAGTGTGCTGCTGAGGAACTTATGGAGAGGTGTCCAGAAGCAAACAAACAAATAAGGGAGGGGTGGCTATGTTTTCCATCTTTTACTGCCTGAAACTGTGGCGGCAATATGAGGACTGAGGGAATCAGTGACTAGAGAAAGATGAATCTGGCCTTGATATGTCACAGAACTAAGCAACCTTGATATCTCCTACCTGTGGACTCCTCATTTTGTAAGGTCATAAAATTCCTCTTGCCTCAATCCTTATTTGGTAGAATAGGACTTGCACTTATAGACTTTCAGTAACTGTTTCAGGCACGATATAAATTACAGAGAAATCTCTCCATTGGAAAGTTCAGAGGATGGAGATGTTCTGCTTAATTAAAATTTTTGTGGTGGTATGCTACAGCGAAGCACCTTCTCACTTACTAAAGCCAATTGTTATAATAAGGGGGACTTTTGTTACTTGTGACCTCAAGTAATTGAGCATATTCCCCTTCTACTGAAGTAACAGAGTGCACACGTGCACATACATTTCTTGCTCTCTTTTTGTAGTAGTTAGGATTGAATTGGGGTGCTCTACCATTGAGCTACATCCCCAGCCTTTTTTTCTTGAGAAAGGTTTCACTCATCTGCCCAGACTGGCCTTGAACTTGTAATCTTCCTGCCTCAGTCTCCTAATCACTGACATTACAGGTGTGCTCTCTCTTTCTTATGAAACTAACTCTTGTGTGAGTACTAACTTTACTTTGCTTCCCCTTCATCCCCCTCACCCCACCCCAAATCCAAGCATCACGTGTTCTGTATTCCCACTCTGGAATACCTTCTTCCCCAGCCCCATCAATCATCTCAGGGCCTGGTTCCAAATGGACCTCCTACATGAAGTTTCTTATTTAATCCCTGCCTACATCTTCCCCTAATTTTAACACAGCATTTACTGCTTCTAACTCTGCACATCTTGTCTGCTGAGTCCTGTGCCTTCCTCTCCATGTCTACCACTCCAAGCACACAACTGATTTGTAATGACTGACTGAGTTAAGTGCAAATAACCATTTCCTTTCACCTAAAGCTTGGGGTTTTCCTTTCCTTTTTATTTCTACATCTTCTTTCCTCATCTTACTTCTCTATAGAAGAAAGACCAAAAGAAATTCAAGCTCAGGCTCTGCAATAAGTATTTTAAAACAAAGCCAAGAATAGCACTCCCTACCTTCTGGAAGTTACAGATAAGAGAAAGAATGATGATGATATGGGGGCAGCAGCAGTTGGAACTTTAGGAACGACCTCCTGTTTTTTTGTACCTCCCTATACCCACTGTCAGTTCTGCTACTAAAGGTGGGGGGTCCTCAACAAGTCTGAAGTTACAGTAGAAAATACAGTAGAGTGTAGTACACAGTCCACATTCAGTACTGTTGGTGAATGTTGCATGGTTAGGGTGTTGAGCCTAGGCCTTGAAGCTCTTTACTATAAAAGTAAGATGAACTGTGGATACCAGTAGCAACATTGCTGTCTCAGTTGTAAGGAACTTCATCTGAATATAATGACGGAAGAATATTTGATGTGATATGGACTTCAAGCTGTTTTGAAATGAAAAATAAAATCTCGGATTGTTTTTGGTTTTATTTCAAAATGCCTGCAGATGATGGCCATCAGCAGATCTCCAGACCATCTAACAGGAAGGGCCAGTCCACCCCAAAGGCTGGCCTCTGGTTGTTCTGCTCTGTTCTTCTGTACAAATCTCTGGGACCATCCTTTTTATCATTTATTTAGCAGGACTAGGATTGCATCTCAGAGCCCTACACATGCTAGGCAAGCATCTACCACTGAGCCACATCCCCAGCCCTGGGGTCCTAGGACCCTTAGATGAGATGGCAAAAGGAGCATTTGCAAGGATCATGACCCAGTGAAGGAACCAGCTCATACCCTTGAATGTATGCAATCCAATTCTAATAGGCTTTAACTCCTTCTAGATATTAAAAATATCTTGTCACTTTCATTGGATAATATCAAACCAACACTAAGAACTTCTAAAAGATAATTTATATTACACAATAGAGTAAAAAACTGTAATATATGTTCAGAAATTTAAATAAGCACCAAATACTACAAAGTGCAACCAACATGGTTCTATTAAAACTGTCTTCAACTATAGCATTCAAGGACAGCTGTATAATATTTTCTTTACAAAGTGACTAATACAAAAATCTGCCAAAAATTCATTTCTAGGCTATTCTTCTCATATAGGCATGTCATTAGATATACTTTCTTTCAATTCTTTCCTGAGGTATTTTTGTGGTTTAACTTTATTTTACTGCTGGATGCATTTGATCATCCTTTCCTAAAATGATTTTAAAGACCTGCAAAAAGTTTTATTACATAGGACACTATTCATGACACAGAGATTGGGAACTGCAAATATGTAGCATTGGAACAAGTCTTACAAATATTTCATTTTAAGAATTTGTTACATACATTTTTTACAGTTTGTCTCTTTTTAAAAAAATTGAAGTTATACCTAAGAGTTAACTACGTACAGGGAAGCATTTTAGGAATGTTAGAGATTAGAACGTAAGATGAATGATACAAAGGAAAAAAGCCATAATTCTTGCCGGCTATATATTGTATTGCCTTCAAAAGCAACTGTACATGTTGTAATCAGTTCATAGTTAAATATTTCTACTAATCTGTTTTGGGAGAGCAAATGTCTTTCAAGGTTTCAAGTTCCTCTATAAGCTTCTTATTCTGCACTTCCAGCACTGCAACTCGACTCTCCAGACACTTTACATATTCTTTCTTTCGACGTCGACATTCTTTAGCAGCTTCCCTGGAAAAAGTAGAAGCAAAGGGCAAACAAAACATTTTTTGCATGCTATTGACAAACAGATTGAAGTAAGCTTGGTAAATGTGAACACAGTTGCACTCCAAATCCTGGAACAATATTCCCAATTCAATTTCAAACACTAAGCCAAACTGGATTCTTAGTTAAGGGTCACATATGTCCCTTCCACAAGTCCACATGGCAATTAGTAGAACTGGTGCAACGCCTGCCTTGATTAGAGTTTAGAGTAAACAAGGTCCAAGTCAAAGACAGTTACTCTGCTTTATGGCAATAAAGATCTTTGAGGGCCTTGAGTTCCTCAATGAGGGTCTTGTTTTGGTTTTCAAGCACAGCCACACGATTTTCAAGACATTTGACATATTCTTTCTTCTTCCTGCGACACTCCCGGGCAGCTTCCCTGGAACCAACACAAGGCAAATGACTACAGAAACAACCTCCCAGTACAATCCAGAGTGGCTCAATGACTTGTGCCCCCCAAAATCAATAGCCAATCAAACCTAGGAAAAATTTGTACAAAGCCACACAACAAATGGAACCAAGCACATGCCTTTTTGTAAGACAACAGGAACAACTTGAGAGCACGATCAATTTGCCCAATTGGTGTTTTCTTAGGACACACTTTCCATGATAACAATGACCAGAACTGTGTTCAGTAAACTACACAATAGGACCACATTCCCAAGTGGAATATCAACAAAAACATTTATAGATCCTTTTGATCCTCTTAATTATTTTTTGTCTGCCAAAAGCTACACATATTCCATCACAATGAATACATTTTATTTGGTCAAAATGATTAGAAGAATTGTTCCTCAGAAACCTTAAATGTCAATATTGAAGATCTTTGTCAAATTTCAATAAAACAAGATCATTCATGACTGAAAAAAAAATTTTTTTTTTTTTTTGGCTAGAAAACACAACATGGATAAATTACAACAATAAATAAGACATGTGCATTTTTATAAAACAAAATAAAAAGGACACTTTCTGAAAATTAAAAAAGGAAAAACAGAGTTACATAATGCAACACTCAATAATTCAGGCAATTTAAATGCACAAATGTGAAAACACCACAATTGAAATTATGGAAAAGGAAGCTACTGAATAATTCAAAAGTGCATTTTGAGACTGTTCTCTACTCACATGCATTTAATATGCAATACACTGAATTTTAAAGCACTATAAGCATGCCCAAAGGAAAGAACAAACCAGCAGCCAAAGCAACAACCACCAATAAATAGATGAGTTAGTCATTTTCATGCATAATTCCACTAAAAAACAATGTGCTTTCTCTCTCTTTTTTTTTTTTCCAGGGTGGGAGGGGACAGCAACTATTTCACTTAAATCTTCACAGAAGCTCTCTGACAACAGCTTTATTTTAGAGTATTCAATTCCAGAAAAACTGCCATATATTATCATTATCCTATACTTTAATAAAAGTAATGTTATGTGTCTAAATACTAGTTACTGTAATACCAATTAGCATTGCTGCAATCCTGAACTAAATGACGCATACAACGCCTTTGATCAATTGTTCTATTTTTAGGATAGCTGACTCTTAAAAACTGGATATGTGTTTTCTCTATGGGAGGACAAGAGTTAGCAGAAAAGAAACTTTGAAAACCCAATAAACTGCAGGAAAAGAACAAACAACCCTTACTTCCTAGCCAAGAACAATGCACTCACCCTGTGAACTCACAAAGTTCTGGACTTCTCAACTGGTTAATGAGAAAATAAAAAATGTAGAAGTGAATTGAACCTGATAAAATAGTGATTGATTTAATATAAATGATGCACAGGGAAAAGTTAAGAATAAATCCAAACACACTTTCAAATTGCCAGTTTGGTAATATAATTCAACTCTCTTCCACAAAGTCACTAAAATTCATTTGTGAATACCAAGGTTTTCATTATTAGATCATTAAATTCTGGGTCTAGAAGGAAGATAACATTCTATACAGCAACTTACCATTAAATGAAAATTAAAGAGCAATATAGTGAGGTATTTAATTTTTAAAATTTTATTTACCAAGCTGCTGATTGTAAATATCCATATTTCATATTTTACATTTGTGTGTGTGTGTATGTGTTACTAGGGTAAAAATGTTCTAAGCTAAAGCTTTAAATGATCACACCAGTGGATGGTACATTCCTAAATACTTTTAGCTATGGAAAACACCTGTTTCTTCTATTAATAGTTAGCTCAGTTCACAGGCCTTGTATTTAACTGGATCTATCCTCAGCATGGAGATGGAATGACATGGCAAAGTGGAAAGGCTGATAAGGCTATAAAGAATTAAAACTGATGCGCTATTGCTAGAAATATAATTAGAAATATAATTAAATATCTTCTATAGATGCCATCAAGGAATAAAAAGAGAGAATATATATAAGGGATCTTTCATGTTAATTATGAAACCTACCTACTTTCCATGAAGTCAAATATGAAGCTTACATTGAGGGCCTTTTGAGGTGACCCTGGTGTTAGGGTAGTAGACAACTCTTGCCTAAAGACTGTCTGATTGCATATCCTGGTTCTTAGGCTATGTGACCTTGGCCAATTTATTACTTAAACTCTCCAAACCTCAGTTCCTCATCTGTAAAGTGGAAATAATAACCAGACCCTTTATCTTAAAGAAATTATGTGAAAGTTAAAGAAACAGTAGGAATAAAGTACTTGAAATCAGCTAAATAGATATTGAGCCACCTAATAGCCCTTTGTCAGCTGCTTTTCTTTGTGTTGCTCTGAAATTGAGATTTAGAAAGCTAATATAAACATTCTTCATAATCCCTTATAGTTAGGGACTAGAAACCTATTTCTAATCAATGAAATGTAGGTGAAAGTTTTTGGGAGGTTTTCAGAAGGGGCAGATTCAGCTAGCCCCAATTTTTGGCTCTAGCCATTCTCCTTTCTTCCCATCTAATGCAATGCCTCGAAGTGCAGCAGTCATATTGTGATCCTAAGAGCAAGTTGTATATGCTGAAGATGACAGGGCAGGGAGGACACTCCTGAGGCTTAGTTCTGGCTGTACATACCTCTTGATCTGCTATATAGGATCAAAAAAAATCACTTAAAAGTTTAAGCCTCCAGTTCCCTTGGTTATTTGCAGTCCAAACACAAATCAATCAGTTATTATTTATTAGATGTTTTTTAATACAAATTTTGTAATTTTCTCCCCTCAGGGAGATTTCATGAATATGTAGGTAGTTGTGTGGCACATTTATAGGAAACCACTGCCTAATATTTTATTTTTCACATTGGCATTTCTATTGAGAAATTTCTGAAATAAAAAATAAGGATAGAGAATAATTGCAAAAGGGAAATAAGACTATTTCTGTGTTTTATTTTCTTTGGGTAAAATGAGACATCAATGAACAATTTTATAGTTTGCATTAATAGTGTACTTCACATTTCTAAACTGACCTTCATAATGTATATTCTATGACCACAGAAGCAATTATATTCAGAGCTCCTGAAATCTCAGAAAATTCATAAAAATATCCATATTTCTCCATCAGATCAAAGTTGAGTTGTTTTATGTTTTACTTTGTTTTTGTGGGGCTGCATATGCACTCGAGGCAAGCATTCTACCAACTGAGCTATATCCCCAGCCCAAATTTGAGGTTTTTGTTTTATTTGAAATGGGGTCTTGGTATGTTGCCTAGGCTGGTCTTGAACTCTATGTGCTCAGTCTCCCAAGATGCTAATACTACAGGAATGCACCATCCTGCCAAGCTTAAGCATCTATGATAATAGGACTGCCATAAAACAACTGTGATGCTGTGTGAGCCCCACCCATTCAGCCCCTAGATTTCTCAGCAAAGAGCTGACAGTGAAAAGCAGGAACCTAGCATGACTTAGTAAACCTGGAACAACCACTGACAAAGATGAATATACCTTACTGACCTTATCCCTGGTATCTATCTGTTGAGTTCTCCAGTGTACAAAACTCTATCTAATGATTTGTGAAGCTAATAAGTTTGGGAAGAAGTAGCCAATTCAACGATTCTCATAATATATCAAATCATATCATTTAAAAGACCACAAAAATAAAGTAAATATAGCTACATCTAGTTCACACGGTTACAAAGGACAGTGATAAACTCAAAACTGAATTTTAGGGATCCAGAGGCCACAATTTGTAGGTTAATCAGGATGATTAAGACCACCTTGCAGTCTTGATCGGTTGCAAGCAGATGATGCCATCTGATGCTTTGTTTTCTTAAAATAAGGACATTATTTAACACTTAGTAAGAGGTGACAAGAAATTGTACAAGGAAACTCTTGTACAATTCTGTTTATTTTGGAAATCAAATTAATATGTGCCATTCTTCAAAATAAGAACTAAAACAAAAAATAATATTCAAGTTAAAATAAATTTTTGTTTAAGATTAAATTAAAACTTTTTTGGGGAAAACAGCATTTGATTATATACTGATTTTTAAAAAATATAATTACAGAGACAACAAGCAAGAATATGTGAGAGAAAAATGAAAGAATAGACTGGAAACATACATACTGTAATGTTAGGAGGTATCTCTAAGTGGCGAAGCCATGGATTATTCTAATTATTTTTCTTATTTTGTATGTGTACTTGAGTAGAATTTGTCAAAATAGCACATATTTTGTTGTAATAATGAAAACCAAAGTTAGAAATAGCTGAAAGGATTAAAATTTCAAACATGCTTTATAATTCTTAAATTTATTGTGCTAATAAAGAGTTAAAAAATTATACTTATAATACTGCCTCACAAAGTAAAAGCCATATACAAATGAAATTTTATTTATAATGAAATCTTTTTTTTTTAAGTAATGTATCTTTTGAACATCACCATTATAACACATTGGGATGTACCTTCTAATGAGATAGTTTAATGGCTAGGTACTCTTAACTAGAAGACATTCTAGTTATCATTACATGCAGAGCACAAACCCACACACAATGCACATAACACTTAACTAGGGAGAAAGAGCTTAGGAAAAGTTTAATTTTTTTAAAACCCCACAGTAAAAAATTATGTGTCCTATAAGAGAGTTCTGATTTCTGGTGAAACAGCTTACCTGTTTTTCATTAGCCTCAGCTCTCGTTTACGTGTTGCTTCTTCTGCTAGTTGCTGGGGACTGTGCAAACTTCCTGGTGAGGCAGCCATCACTACGCCCTGTGGCAAAGCTGTAGTAGGAGCTCGGATCTGATAAGTGGGCATGTCACCTGTGGCAGCTGCAATGAAATAAAATATAGCAAGTTTATATAAACAATTCACAAGTTGATATTTTATATAAAATTAATCTGAAAACAACATACTTTTTATATGTCACTAGAGATGATCTTTTAATGTTAAAGATAATTACTCTGAGTATTACAGGGATCTTAAATAGCAAAGATCTCCTTCAGCATTTATAGAACTATGATATGAATATTTCAACTCTGACTACATTTAAGGTAGAACAATGTCCTAATGCATTTTAGACAAGTTTTTATCAAAGCTTTTTAACTACATTTCATTTAGCCTAAAATCAGTAGTGTGTTGATAAAATATTTAAGAAACAGTTCTCTAGGGATTGGGGAGAGAAAGTCCTAATCTGTAGTGTTTGATGATTTCCATGATGGAAATACTTTCATAATGGCCAATGTCAAGATAGCAATATGACTTCACTGAATGTACAGTTGGGAAGAAACACAAATAAGTAGCACACCATACAGATAAAAATATGTAAATAATCTCAAGAGCACAGACAAAATTTATGAGAAATGGTGAGTTTTGAGTAGTGATGTTGCTTTTTAGTGTAATTCATTTGTATGAGTGTGTATGCATATATATTTAACTTTTAACAAGGGTTGCTTTAACAATCAATTCATAAAGATGCTGAAAGCATAAAATTGGCTATAGCTAGCCAGAAGGTGCTAGCTCTAGCACAGCACTACAAAAATTTTAATTAAGCAGAACATCTCCATCGCTTGAACATGCCAATGGAGAGATTTCTCTATACCTTCTATATCATGCCTGAAACAGTCACTAAAAGTCTATAAGTGCAAATCCTATTACCAGAAAATGATTGAGAAAAGGGAAGGAATCTAGCTCACTGAGGTTTTAGTTAAAAACAACAACCAAAAACAAATGAAAACCAACAAAGTTTTTCTTAAAAGTGTTCTACTCGGGATTTCTTTCTTTCTTTTTCTTTTTTAAGTAATATATTCCTAAGTATTCATACAAAAATTATTTTCTTAATATATAATATTTACTTAGTATTCAGATTGAATACTGAAAGAAAATTCTCAAAGTTTCCTTATTTATATTCAAAATAGTCTGTCAACTGCATTAAACACAGCTTCCTAGAAAAGACAGATGGATTTGAGTGATGAAATACATTTCTACCACCAACGCTTCAACTTTGAAAACATATGGTTCAGAGTCAATTTGATATTACAAAATATATACTCTCTCAAAGCTAAATGCAAAAAAAAAAGTTTTAAAAAAGTTATTAAATCTTATAAAAATTGATCTGAACCAAATGCCATTCAAAAGGAAATATAGTATTTTCATAGTTTTAAAAAAGTATTATAACCATTGAGTAAGAACTGAAATTTTTTTCAATACAGGAATTTTTCACCTAAATAGAATACTATCTTTGAAAATAGACAAGCAGTTTTTAAAAATTAAAAATTAAATACTATTTTCTTTTATTTGGTGAATATTAGTTTTTCCCTTAGGACTTGAAGATTAAGAAACAGAATAAAACAAATGAAAAATGTGGCTTTGAGGGAAGATTATCTAAAGGTCTTCCCAGAATTAATAAAAATACTATTTTTAAGGTAGTACTTACTGCCTCTTCTTTTTATAATTTAAAAATAATGGCGATAAATAGTAACTGTGATAAATAATCATCAGCCAATTTCTATTACTAAACTTAGAAAAAGTCACGTTTGTTTTGATGGCTATTCAAAACATTATATACAGATGCCTCATTAATTTTTATAGCTTTGAGATATTTAAGAAGAAAACCTCTGGTAAACTAACTTAAGATTTTTTTAAAAATCTCTTTTTTAGTTTTTGCTGGTGCATTATAATTATATGTAATAATGGAATCTTCATGCCATATTTAAACATGTACATAACATAATTTGCTCAATCTCATTCCCCAGTAACTTTCCTTTCCCTCTCCTCCTCCCTCTTTCTGATCCATGAGATATATTCTACTAATCTCCCTATTATTATTTTTAAATGGATGCAACTGGAGAACATCATGCTGAGTGAATTAAGTCAGGCCCAGAAAGTCAAATGTCAATTTTTCCTCTCATGTGGAATCTAGAGAGGAAAAAAAGAAAAAGAATTTTAAAAGGGATTTCAGGAAAATAGAAGAGATTCCAATAGAGGAAGGAAATTAAGGGAGGAGGAGAAGGCATAGGCAAGTACTGGAGAATGAAATCTACCAAATTATGCTATGTCCATTGTAAAAATATACCACAGTGAATCCTGTGTGTGTGTATATATATATATATACACACACACACACATATATACATATATACATTATATGCATAAAGTTTATATATATTATATACATAAAAGAAATTATAATGCACTGATTATTTAAACAGCTTGATCATAATGTCAGAGGAGATGCAGTGGAACATAGAATAATATAGTCCTCCCCTCTTTTCTCTTTACCCACATCCAAGGAAGAAGGTTATAGGATAATAAAAGCTTAAACAATGCAACAGCTGGAGGCTACAGGCTTTCTAAAATTGGAACAATAGCCAGTGAGGAATGAGAAATTTACATGTCACTGTGTTGACCTGGGCAGGCAGCCTCAATGCAGGCCTAGTTCTAAGCTTGCTATTTCAAACAGTGCTCACAAAGAAGTGAAAACAAAAAACAACAAAAAAAGAAAACCCCTAATATAAGGGTGCATAAGGGTTTCTTATACTCTTTAGTTTTGTATACCTTTGCTACCTTCTGTAATATGAAGTTAGAACAGAATGCTTACATGAAATACAAAAGCTAAGAGTATCTACTAAAACAAACTTTTTTAAAAAATTGGGAAAAGGGATGGTGGATAGAAATACTTCACAGATGAAAATGGACATCGGGAATGGTTCCAAACAACTTTTGCCTGTTTTGAACAGCCACAGCCACCTTTGAAGAACCAAACTGGGCAGCATGAAGGATAGTGGCAATTCCAAGTGGAGTATTCCTAAAACATTTTGAAGTAATAGCTCAGGAAAAAAAAAAAAAAAAGATCACTTTAAAATAACAGAAGGGGATGATATTTCTGGATATATTAGTTTTGGGATGTTAGGTAAACAGGGTTTTATTATAATGTTCCAGATATGTTACATGTTAATTTTATTCTTGTTAAAATAGAGATTATAGTTTATTAGTTCAAGCCAGAAATATGAATTAGTATAAATTAATAGGAATTAGAATAAATTTCTATAATAGCCTAAAGAATCTATATGATGGTATACTTTCAGAGGTCAAGGGATAAATTCCATATATTCAAATGTAATCTAATTAGTAAAGTATGTTAAAAAGATATGGGCAAAGAGACTTTCTTGTTTTTTCTGAAATAAGTTATGAAACAGTGTTAACCTTAGTAGGCTTTAGTTTCTGATGTTATGAATTCAGTGGTCATTTAAAGCAGATTAGAAACCAAGGATCACAGTTCAAAGAACCATCCTATACTCCATGATGACCATTTCTTATTCCTATTTTCTTATAAAGGCTGATTACTGTCCCTTATAACTAGTAAAAGTGTCCAAAATATTTTTTATTCTAGAATTTCATTTTTATTTCCAAAAATATAGAGGTCATCAGTAGGGCTTAAAAATTACAGTTGAAGATAGATAATATGATATTTATTTATACACTAATTTTCTCAGGCAAGTAAAAATATTCAGACAAGTCAGGGGCAGAATCTTTTTACCTTGGTGTGTCCTATAATCTGGCACAGTATTTGGCATATAATGGTTATTTCATGAGTTTATGTGTATACTACAAATATGATTTTGAACTTCCTAGGGTGTTGTACAGGTATTTGGGATGATTAAAGTAAGTAGTCTTCCTTATAGACTTAATTATGATATTTAAATCTTTATCACTATGATATGGAAAGAGAGCAACAAGATATATATTTATTCAAAGTGGCCTTTCTTGATAAAAAGCATTATTTCCTAAATCTTCCCTTAAATAAATCTAACGTGGCATTTTTTAGATGAAGAGGGTTTTAACTATAATGTATTTCCAACCATCTAACTCTTGAAATGAAAGAATTCTAGAGGGGTTGGTGTCAAGTATTTCATGGGAAAAGAAAATTTCTAGAACTCTCAATTCTGATCATTAACTTCATACCTCTATTTGCAAGCTTTAAACATGGTACAGCAGAAAAAAACATGGGATTTGGAGTCTGGGTTCTAGTCCAGCTCTGCCACTTACCAGCCATGTGACTTGGGGCAAGTTCAGTTTCCTCATCTGTAAAATGGGGATACATTATCTCATTTAATACTCACAATAAACCCTGTAATGTATGTCAAAGTGTCTAGCACAGTGCCTGGCACATGGTAGGCATTCAGCAAATGTTATTTCCCTTCTTCTTCCCTTCCTTAAATTCTGAAAGACAATGTTCCAAATTATGCTTATACTGTATTTTAGTTAAAAGGCTTATAACATCCTTAAATAAATTTCCCCTGGAGTTTCCCTTCTAACAAACCTGAGGAGTCAAAATATATGGTTCTTACTCCTTATTGTGCTTAAAAATATGCCTAAAAACTTTTTACATTTATAATACATTGTTATATCCCTTTAAACAACAAACTATTAAAAGATAACATAAAATGTCCCTTTCAGTGTATGTATATATATATATAATCACTTAAGACAGAACCTCAAAAGTGGAGAATATCACAAATGACCAAATGATATACTCTTGTCAGATTGGTAAAAAGAAAACTAAAAAAACCCACAAGTCAGGGTAGAAAACAAAGAAATAAATAAGAAACCCAGCCAAATGCCTATCCTGATAGCTACCAAAGTGAAACAATCTGTCCAACTGTCCAGCTCCCAATATGATGGTGATTTTATTTGACTGTTTATTTGCTGAAGTATCCATAAGTACTAAGCATATTAACTGAAGGAAAACATCTTTATAGAGGAAGTTCCTACCTTTTATTCTAGAATTTCATTTTTATTTCCATGTGCCAGTAATTTTAAATACACCTAAGTAAGCAACAGAAGTAACTTAAAAGTCATAAGTGTAGGGGAGAGGGCTTTCCCTTTCTCCAGTAAGCTACTGGCATCTTCTCCACTTTTGTTCTTCAGTTCTCTCCCTTCCTACCACCACACCAGTGCCCCTAATACCCAAATCAGACTTATCTATGCCTTGTGTCCCATACTGTCAAAATACTTCCTTTTTCCATTGCTCTGGTTTCTTTGGAGAAATTAAATTTACCAAAAATACCTATTAAAGTACTAAACATTTTCAAATTCATTATAATTACTATAACACATAGACCACATGGAATTGTCATTAAATTTTTCAGCTTTATTGAGGTATAGTTGACAAGTAAAATTATATATATTCAAGGTGTACAAAGTGATGCTTTGAAATATATATATATATATATATATATATATATATATATATATA